TGTATATATATTTTTAGTTGGTCAATTAATTTCTTTCTATTTTTAGTAGAGACGGGGTCTCGCTCAGGATGGTTTCGAACTCCCAACCTCGAGCAATCCGCCCGCCTCGGCCTCCCAGAGTGCTAGGATTACAGGCGTGAGCCACCGCGCCCGGCCTGCAGGATGGTTTTTATTCTTTCAAAATTTCTTTAAAAAGTCTACTTTTGGCTGGGCATGGTGATTCACGCCTGTAATCCTAGCACTCTGGGAGGCTGAGGATCGTTTGAGCTCAGGAGTTTGAGACCAGCCTGAGCAAGAGCGAGGCTCTGTCTCTACTAAAAATAGAAAGAAATTAATTGGCCAAGTAAAAATATATAGAAAAAATTAGTTGGGTATGGTGGCACATGCCTGTAGTCCCAGCTACTTGGGAGGCAGCAGGATTGCTTAAGCCCAAGAGTTTGAGGTTGCTGTGAGCTAGGCTGATGCCACAACACTCTAGCCCAGGCAACAGAGTGAGATTCTGTCTCAAAAAAAGAAAGTCTACTTTTTTCTTTGTATGTTCACATCAACCATCCTTACCCTCATAGCTCTAATCTCAGGTTATATTTGTATAATTATGATTTTTTTTTGTTTTGAGACAAAGTCTCACTTTGTTGCCCAGGCTAGAGTGAATGCCGGTTCATCAGCCTCGCTCACAGCAACCTCAATCTTCTAGGCTCAAGCGATTCTGCTGCCTCAGCCTCCCGAGTAGCTGGGACTATAGGCATGTGCCACCATGCCCAGCTTACGTTTTCTATATATATTAGTGGGCCAATTAATTTCTTTCTATTTATAGTAGAGATGGGGTCTCCCTCTTGCTCAGGCTGGTTTCGAACTCTTGACCTCGGGCAACCCGCCTGCCTCTGCCTCCCAGAATGCTAGGATTACAGGTGTGAGCCACCACCCCCAGCCTTATAATTATGATTAATGTCTCTCTTTCCCATCAGATTTGAACTCTCTGAAAGCAGAGATAATGTCTTCTTTTTACTTTAATTATACCCTCACATGCCGAGCACATTGAGTGACTCACTAGGTGCGGGATGGATATGTGTTGCATGAAAATGTAATCCCATTTCTCTTTGTTTTTTGTGTGCAGTGCCAGGTCATGCTGGCCGGCTGGTGTTTGGATTCCTCAATGGCAGAGCCTGTGTGATGATGAACGGCAGGTTCCACGGATATGAAGGGTACCCGCTCTGGAAGGTAAATCAGGGGTATAAGCCTGGTTGAATCTAGAAGAAGGGAGAGAGAACTATCCTATTTTATTACTAGCTATTTGAGCTAGGTAGGGTTTTGTTCTCCTCCTTTCTCTTTCCTGATAGATATTGTACATAGATGTATAGGTGGACTGATGAAATTCTGCAAAACTTTTTTCTCCTGTTTTGCTTCTAAGGTGACATTCCCTGTGAGGGTTTTCCAGCTTATGGGTGTGGACACCCTGGTGGTCACCAATGCAGCTGGGGGACTCAACCCCAAGTTTGAGGTTGGAGATATCATGCTGATCCGCGATCACATCAATCTACCTGGTTTTTGTGGTCAGAACCCCCTCCAAGGGCCGAATGATGAAAGGCATGTATCTTGTGCCATTATGTCTAGATGGGTAGGGTTTAAAAGATTTGTCTAAGAGGTGGGAGGGTTTATTAATTCCATTTATCTCAGATAATCCAACCTGTGCCCTAGGTTTGGAGTTCGTTTCCCTGCCATGTCTGATGCCTATGACCGGACTATGAGGCAGAAGGCTCTCAGTATCTGGAAACAAATGGGGGAGCAGCGAGAACTACAGGAGGGCACCTATGTGATGTTAGGGGGCCCCAACTTTGAGACTATCGCAGAATGTCGCCTGCTGCAGAAGCTGGGGGCAGACGCTGTTGGTGAGAAGGGGAATTTGGCTGGAGGCTTGAAAAGGGAGGGATCTGATAAAATAGGGATGGGAAGGAGTAGGAGATTACAGACCTAGTTGCATTAAGAGAGGATCTGATTTAAGGGAAGGGGGAATTAAACTGACTTCTAGGAAGGCAAAGTGATAAGGTTTGGTTTGTTGCAGCATCAAATCTCCCCACTGAGCACCAAGGCTTTAATAGCTACAGTGCTAATGACCTAGCCATAATTTGATGACTGTTTCTAGAAGTTATTCTAACAAATTACACCACAGCCATCTTCTGTACTTCTGGCTGAAAGATAGAACTACATCATTACAACTGACTTCAAAATTACCACAAACAAATATAGAGGTAAAGCATTGCATTGATCATTATAAGAAATGTGTGAGGCCCCACTTATTTTAAGCAATATGGAACAACCTACCTCAACACTAAGTCATTAATAACTGCTGCTTTGGATGTTTTTTGAGATTTTAAATTCTCAGTGAAGTTATAGATGAAGGTGAGGCTAAAGGGCAAGGAAAAGAGTCATTTGAGGACCCTGACAGTTGGTTTCCCTCTTTCTCCCCATCAGGCATGAGCACAGTACCAGAAGTTATAGTTGCACGGCACTGTGGACTTCGAGTCTTTGGCTTTTCACTCATCACTAACAAGGTCATCATGGATTATGAAACCCTTGAGAAGGCCAATCACGAGGAAGTATTAGAGGCTGGGAAACAAGCTGCACAGAAATTGGAACAGTTTGTCTCCATTCTTATGGCCAGCATTCCACTCCCTGAGAATGCCAGCTGACCAGCCCTGGAGTCTTCTGTCATCTCCCATTTGAGTTCCAAGTAGCTGCTACCTACTTTGGCTGCTTGCAGGGGTCACATGCCTCTGGGCTTGGGTAGTAACAGAAAGGAGCAGATTATCCCTATCTTTCACCTTCCCTACTTTTTCCCACCAGACCCTCTGGTGCCAGGTCTTCTTTTGCTCAGCTATCTTCTCAAAGCAGCTTCCACCCCTGTTCTTCCCCAATAGCTGGAGCTCGTGCCCTACTATGCATTTGTGGATATGCCCAGGATTTGTCTTGGGCCCTCGGACTCTGCACAGTAGCTGCTACTAATGTTTTCAGATAATACTCTCACATTCCTAGGGGCTCAGTTATGCCTCACCTAAAGTGCTAGAGACCAAACAAGGACCAACCCGATGCCTCTTGGACTTTATTTAACACCATAATGTTTTGAGAATAAAGATAAAGATGAAATAATTTTCTGAATTTGTTGTGCAGTTATGGGGTGAGTCTGAGGCACAGATCAAGAATAACATTAAAGGATATGAAGAAACCACATGTCCTGTGTAACTTCTGATTCTCAGACAAGTAGCTAGGAGCGGAGATGAGGTATGAATGCAGCAGAGGATGAAGGAAAGGCACAATGGTGAAAGATGGGGAAAGACATCACGAGATGAGAAGGAAAAGCTGATTTCTGGCACTTGAAAACCACATCCCTCAGACCAGGCATGCCTCCATCCCTTGCCTTCTGATTGTTTCACACCCTCCGCACCCCATCTATTCAATCATGAATATCTCTCTGAATTAGTTCATCGATCTCAGCTTCTGTTTCTTAGTTGCCACTTATTAACCCTTTGTACTAGGATGTCGAGTGTGAATAATGTGGAGTGGATAATGAGAAAAAAGCAAGCGAGTGCAAAGGGTTAAGGCCCTAATCATATTCTTGTTTTCCTTTTCTCCTCTACTCTTTGGATTTCTGCAATTATACTTTGCTTCATTCCATTCTGATACTGCAGTGGCAAATATCCCATTCTCTGCTGCCAGCCATAGGTAAACCTGTGAAGTTGATTCATATTTGGTTTCTTCTCTTTAAGCACCTCCTTTCCTCCTGCTACTTCCTTTCTGGGCCACAGTCTCTCTCTTCACTTCTGCTTGGTCAGAACCTTCCTGTGACGCAGCATCCGGGCATTGCCCTTTGTTGGCTCACTGCACTATTTTCTTTGCTTATCAACTTGCATTCAGCTGGCTGGCATGTTTGAAAACCACACTATCCTGCCAGGTCTATGTGCCTTTTGAGAAAAGATAGTGCTGGATATGATTGTAATACTGAAGACATTTCAGTTGTTAGTGGTATCATATGGAAGAGCTATTTTGGACAGGCAACTTTTGAGAACTCTTTCAACTCATCCTTTGTTTGGTTAACTGACCTACTTAGCTCAGCTCAGCACAAAGAAAGAGCATCCCAGAGTGGCTCTGTCACTACTCTTTCTTTCATCAGTTCTTTCTATTTAATATCTTCATCCACCACTAAAACCCTCTCTGGACCTTTAGGCAATCTGCTAGCATCTATTATTTGTCTCTGAGAGCTGGTTTAGAGGGAAGTACTATGCATCATTTAGATGTACACAACTATAACTTGTTCATCTAATGCATTGGCTTGTAGACATTTCTCTTTAATCAAGTTATTGAACATCTCTTTTTTTTTTTTTTTTTTTTGAGACAGAGTCTCACTCTGTTGCCTAGGCTAGAGTGAGTGCCAGAGAGTCTTAATCCCATTTCGACTATTCCCCCTGGCCTCCTTCCATGGTCCCAGCTCTTTTACTCACCTTGATTTGACTATTTATTTCATTGCAGTTCTCTGTAGACTTTGGTCTCTTCCTCTCTCTAAATCTTTGTCATAAGGAGAGGTATTAAACCACAAATGGAAGCAACACTGGAGTTGGGCTGCTAGTGGAAACCTAGGCTTCATAAACTTTTGCCAGGCTCTGGAGTACAGGGAGTTTCATGTCAGATTTTCAGTGGGCTTGATTCAGAGGGGTGAGTGAGTGGGTGGGTGAGCACAGTATGGCCTTCCCGTCTGTGGAAGTTTCTCCTCCCCTGCTGCCTCAGTATACCTCCCAGCCTTTTTTGCATTGAAGGTCATTTGTCTATGATGCCCTTGGAACAGAATTCACTTTCTTGTTTTTTTTCTCCTAGATACACATATGAGGATTATCAGAACACTGCAGAATGGCTTCTGTGTGCACTACACACCGACCCCAGGTGGCAGTGATCTGTGGTTCTGGATTAGGAGGTCTGGCTGATAAAGTAACTGAGGCCCAAGTCTTTCACTACAGCGAGATACCCAATTTTCCCAAAGTACAGGTACTGGTGGGGGCAAGAGTGGGGGAAAGAAGGGGATGGGACTGAGGGATGTTGATGAGTTTTGGGAACCCAACCAAGGAGGCCAGTGTTTCTACTCCTGGATCTGGTGTTTGACTGAAGACAAGTAAGAGGGAAAAAAGCCCGTCATGAATCAGAATGATGGAAGGATTTCCTTGTGGAAATCTCATAATAGACAGTGTGTGTGTGTTTAGTGGGCCATGATGACATCTTTCCTATGTTTTTACTGACTCAACTCCTTAAAGCTCTACAACATCTCCAGCATGTGCCTCTCCCCTACATGTGCCTCCTTCCATACACCATCATCACCACACACCGAATTTCTTCCAGCCTATAGCTTACATGGAAAAAGCAGTGTCTCTAGCCTCCCAGGACAAAGTCAAGGCTTCTCTGTCCAATGTCTTCCTGCCATTTCCCGTCTCCTCCAGACTTAGGATATGACAGAGCAACAAATGAACACACAGATTCATGTTCTTGCAGACACATACACAGATAATACAATTGGCCCTCTGTCTATGTCTGAGGTTTCACATCTGTGGATTCAACTGAATCAAAAATTAACTGTACAACTGGGTGTGGTCGCTCACACCTGTCATCCTAGCACTCTGAGAGGCCTAGGGCAGGAGAATCGCTTGAAGTCAGGAGTTTGAGACCAGCCTCAGCAAGAGCCAGACCCTGTCTCT